TTACCAAAAAAGTGAAAAAACAAGCTACCAAGTGGAAGAAAATCTTAAGAAACCATATACCGAAAAAGAATCTAATAACCAAAATATATATAAAACTTTGACAGCTTAACAACAAAAAGACAGCCCAATTATAAAATGAGCGAAGGATTTGAATAGACATTTCACCAAAGACATTCAGATGACCACCAAACACGTGAAAAAATGCTCAGTATCATTAGCCATCAGAGAGATGCAAATCAGAGCCATGGTGAGAAATGATTACACTCCCACTAGGATGTCTAAGATAAAAAATAGAAAATAACAAATGTTGATGAAGATGTGGAGCAATTGGAACTCTTATCCATTGCTGGTGGGAATGCAGAATGGTACAGCCATTGTTGAAAACAGTGTGGTAGTTCCTCAAAAAACTAAAAATAGAACTGCCATATGACCCAGCAATTCTAGTCCTAGATATACACATAAAAGACTTGAAAGCAGAGACTCAAAAAGAGACTTGTACACCATTGTTCCATGCAGCATTGTTCACAATAGCCAAAAGGTGGAAACAGCTTAAATGCCCATCAGTAGATGAGTGGGTGACCAAAATGTGGTACATACATACAATGGAATACTACTCAGCCAGTTTAAGAGAAATGAAGTCTTGATACCTGCTACAGTATGGATGGATCTTGAAGACATTATGCTGAGTGAAATAAGTCGATCACAAAAGAACAAATATTGTATGACCTCACTTACATACAAAGATAAGAAAAGGCAAATGTATAGAGACTAAAGTTTATTAGTGGTGTCTTGGTTATCTAGAGCTGCTGTAACAGAAATAGCACAAGTAGATGGCTTTAACAAAGAAATTTATTCTCTCACAGTCTAGTAAGCTAGAAGTCGGAATTCAGGGTGTCAGCTCCAGGGAAAGGCTTACTCTTTCTTTCAGCTCTGGAGGAAGGTCCATGTCATCAATCTTCCCCTGTTCTAGGAGCTTCTCTGCACAGGAACCCCAGGTCCAAAGAATGCACTTTGCTCCTGGCACTGCTTTCTTGGTTTTATGAGGGCCCCCATGTCTCTGCTTGCTTCTCTCTTTTACACCTCAAAAGAGATTGGTTTAAGATACAACCTAATCTTGTAGATTGAGTCCTGCCCCCATTAACATAACTGCTGCTAATCCCACCTCATTAACATGATAGAGATAGTCTTTACAACACATAATTACATTAGATGACAAAATGGTGGACAATCACACAATACTGGGAATCATGGCCTAACCAAGTTGACAAATATTTTTGGGGACACAATTCAGTCCATGACAAGTGGTTACCAGGGATGGGGGGAGGGGAAGAGAGGGATTAACAGTGATGGGAAAATCACATTAAGAATAAGGTTGCACAGTCTATTATGGTAATTGCTGTCAGTTAGTTGTACACCTGTAAAAAGTTGAATTGGCAAAAGTTTTGTGATAGATACATATACGACAACAACAACAACAAAAAAAAGTAGCTGCTGAGGCTGCTTATGTGCAACCAAGCACCTCATGGGATTTGGTTCCTTGGTTTGGAGATTTAGGGTCATGGTTTTATGGGACATCCCAGTTAATTGACCTAATAATGTATTTAGTGCTTCTGTTCTACCTCCTAGTTCATTGCATAGCATCTGGGATCTTAAAAACTTGGAAGCGGCCATGCAAGGCATAACAATTGGTCTCTATTCACCTGGAGCAACAGAGGAAGGAGAGTCTGGAATAGGACTCTGTGAACAACTGCCTGCTTTTCATGAGATCAGAAGAACTGGTTGTTGCCCAGCTACCATTACTGAACATTTTGATCAAAAATTCCATAGAAGAATCCTGATCAAAAGGAGGAAAATTTAGAACAGAATTTCAAATTCTCGTAGACTGTAGACTTTCTAGAGCCATGGAGGGTGGATGAACCCCTGAAACTGTCACCCTGAGATAATCTTTGAACCTTGAACCAAAAATATCCCCTGGAGTCTTCTTGAAACCAAGTGATAGTTTAGCTTAACTAGTAAAAAAGGTCTGCCTTGAGCATTATGCTCTTTTAAGAAGTATCTGTACGGTACCAAATTGACAACAGCAACTTGAACCTTAGGGGGCAGTGAGTTAATGAGGGAGGAACACCTCAGAAAAGGAGGATGAGAATGGTTGCACAACTCAAAGAATGTAATCATTGTCACTAAATGGTACATGCAGAAACTGTTGAATTGCTGTATGTTTTGCTGTGTATATTCTCAGCATCAACAACAAAATAAATAAAATTTAAAAGAAAAGAAAAAAAAAAAAAAACAGCCTGATTTTGGTTCACCAATAGACACAGAGACCAGTGGAATAGAACTGAGAACCAAGAACTACATTCAAACATCTCTGGACAAGTGATTTTCGACAAGGGGTCAAAGTCCATTCAGTGGGGCAGAGACAGTCTCTTTAATAAATGGTATGGGCAAACTGTATATCCACCTGCAGAAAATTGAAATAGGGCCCATACCTCACACCATACACAAATACTCAAAATGGATCAAAGACCTAAACGTTAAAACCATAAAATTCTTGGGAGAAAACTATGGGACCTAATCTTTTGTAAAAATAGGAAACATTACAACAAATGCATGAATAGAAGATGGATAAATGGGATCTCATAAAAATTAAAAACTTATGCTCATCAAATGATATTATCAGAAGAGTAAAAAGAGAACCTACAGACTGGGAAAAAAATCTCTGGATATGACATATTTGGATCTAATCTCCAAAATTTATAGAAAACTTCAGCTTAACAACAAAAAGACAAAACAACCCAATTATAAAATGAGCAAAACACGTGACAGAACCTTTATCAAAGAAGACATCTAAGCAGTCAACAAACACTTGAAAAGGTGCTCACAATCATTAGCCATTAGAGAGATGCAAATCACAACTGTAATGAGATACTATCTCACCCCGACTAGCATGGCACTGATTTAAAAAAACATAACAAATGTTGGTGAGAGTGTGGGAAGATTGGAACTCTTATCCATTGCTGGTGGCACTGTAAAATGGTACGGCCACTATGGAACATGGTATGGTGCTTCCTTAAAAAACTAGAAATAGAACTACCTTATGATCCAGCAATCCTGCGCCGAGGGATATACCGTGGAGACCTGAAAGTACTGACATGAACAGATATATGCACTCTTATGATCATTGTAGCTTTATTCACAATAGCAAAAAATGGAAACAACTGAAGTGCCCATCAGGATGAACAGGTAAATTGTGATACATACATACAATGAAACACTACACTACCATAAAGAACGATGATGAGTCTGCGAAACATTTTATAACATGGATAGACCTGGAGGGCATAATGGTAAGTGAAATAAGTCAAGCATATAAGGACAAATATTGTGTGATGCCTCATTTATAAGAAGACAAGAACAGATAAATATAGAAAGACAAGTGTTCATTGGTGGTTACCAGGGAGAGGAGGGGGGCAAAGGGAAAGTACACTTTAGACCATAGAGACCAGTTATTTTTGGTGATGGGAAAAGCAGCACCAAATGTGGGTGTAGCAAGTACAGCACAACCAAAGTAAAAACAAGTGTTTGAGCATATATGGATGGGTATAGACACAGAGAATGTGGTCAAATTGTGATAATTGTAGCTAATGTCAGTTAACAATTTGTGTGGAAATTGTCAAATGGGAACCTTAACTTACTGTGTAAACTTTCACCAAAAATGCAGTTAAAATGTATATATATATACTTTTTTTTTCTGACTCATAGTGACTCTATAGGACAGAGTAGAACTGCTCCATAGGGTTTCCAAGGAGCAGCTGGTGGATTCAACCTTTTGGTTAGCAGCCGAGCTCTTGACCACTGTGCCACCAGGGCTCCATGTGTGTATGTGTATGTATAGATATATGTAAGACATGTATATATATATGTGTGTGTGTGTGTATATATATATATTGTGTATATATATATAAGACAAACTGGCCAAAATAACATCCCCCAAAAGCCTCAGGGGTGATAGATGTGCTAGATGATTGAGGAAGACATAAAGATCATATGAGTTCTGTTCTAATGCCAGACTACTGGGTAGTAAGAGCTATTTGAAGATGAAGTGGACAATCCCAAAAGATCAAAGTCTTTGTGTTTCTGTCATATTGCTCTGACTGCCAAGCTCACAACCTTTTCCCCTAAAGAAAAATGAAGTTTGTTTATAGGGAGGTCATAATAGTATCTTGAGACATCTGCTTTCCCAAATTCTGGAGTAAAACTGGGAAGAATGACTCACTCAAATGATAGAAGTTAAATTTTGTGATTTCACATCTCTTTGATCCTCGTTATTTCATCACATTTTCTGTCTGGTTAACTTGCTGTCTCTCATAGTCTACCTGTTGCAAACTAAATTTCTGAAAGTCAGAGGGAAGACTTGTACTTGATGAATGAACAGTGTAGGTGATGGCCAGTTATAGCTCAGACTGACCTGATGAGTGCCTCTCATGTGTTTGGGGGAATCTTCAGGAAAAAAATACATAGGCAGAAGGTCTGGGTTCCAGTCGCTGCTTTGCCAAAAACTGTGCAGCCTTGGCTGTGGGCCCTGTAACCTCCCTGTGCCTCCCTTCCCTCTGTCAGATAAAGAAGGCAGATGAGAGCTTAATGTTTCCCTCCCAACACCAGTCCCAAAAGTGACTGAAAACAAAGAACAGGCATCAAGTAAGTTTGGGAAGCACTGCATAGTGTCACTCCCCTGTCGGAACTTTATAATGCACATTATCATCTTCAAGGCTCTGGGAAGTTCAGCAACCTGCTTTTAATCCAGAGATGCATTTGACAGAGAAAGACCTACTAATTCCCTATGGAATGTATTTTGAGAAACACCAGACTAGGTGTTTTCTTATGTCTCTCCAGCTCTAAAAAATGTTTAATAAAAGATATTCTCTTAAATTTAGATTAATATTATGTTTTTCTCAACTGGTGATTTTGCATTTTGTAATTTTTCTTTTTATTATTTTTAGGTGGACAAAGATTTTCATGGTATTTAAGCATCCTGTTTTAATTTTTATTACTGAGAAAGTAAGTGGTAGCTTCCATTCCTACATTATTTTTAAAACTAAAATTACACTGTAGTATTTCTCTCAGAAGATTTTTTTTAAGTGTTTTTTTAAAAATACTAAAAAGTCTATTAAGTATAATTATTTCAATGCCTAAATGTTTTTATAACTCTTAATTGGAGAAGAGAGTTTTAAGTAGTCTTTGAAGTAATTAGAATGAGGTAACAACTTCTGCTTTTAACATATTTGAATACAGTTTGTTGAAAATATTTAAAACAAAGCAACCTTTTTTTTTGCAGCATGGAAATTATTTTGCTTACGTGCAGATGTTTAACTCACGTATCTTAAGCAAATACACACTCTTACCTGGACAAGAAGAAAAATCTGCCATACAGAGTTTTGCAGCATCTGCGAATCGGAAGTTCATCTCGTTGATGTCATTAAGTAAGACTTTTTTCTTTTAAAATTTCAGAGATCGTATATCAAGGAATATTGAAGCGTTGTGCGTACTTTTGAGTTAGAGTCTTTGGTTTTTGCAGTTTTCTGTGGAGGCACTCCCCTTTTCATGCTTCCTTACAAACATTTATCCTTCACTTTTTGCACTTTGCCATGTTTGCACATACATTAGGTCTGTGCTTCTTAGCGGGTGGTGCTGTGTTTGGGGCTGTTGATGCACTTAAGGTGGAACACAGTTTTTAAACATTAGTATTTTAACTTTTATGGCCTAAAATTTACCATAAACAATAAATAGTATAACAACAGTAAAAAAGAACTTGATCTTTTGTCTTTAGCATGATAAAGCCGAGGTTTCTTGTTGGCATAATTAGTGGGACATTAACATATCTGAGACTGGCATTAAAGGACCCCTCTATTTCTCTTTTCCAGCCTTAAGATTTGATGTGCCTTTTTCTGAACTGTGACTAAGATGGATGGACAAAAGAGGGTTAACAGCAGCCTCGGCCTATGGCAGCTGGCATTTTACAGATTTTTTATTGCCGCAGAGTTCTATGTAATGGTCTAAACCCCAGTCTTAAGCCTCTACGGCAAAAAGAAAGGTGTTTTTGTGGTACCTCCTCCCCTCACCTTACATGGCTTCTTTTGAAGTTGCTTTGAGAATGTTAAGGAGGGGGAAAAAAACAAGGACAAGATTTAGGAAACATTTCCATGTTATTACAGTTAAACTTCTTTGTGAACTTTTTAAATGTTGAGATGTTTGCAATGGCTATTAAAAAGACTGCCATCATTTATCATATCTAGAAGGTCATTGGAATACTTGTGTCTTTGCTTTCTTTAACTTTAACCAGTAGGGCAGATTTCATATTGAATAGAAGTTTGCTAGTTATGTTTTAGCTTAATGGGCATTGAAGTAAGGGAGTCTGAACCAAAGGGTCATGTAAATCTTCATGTAACATAAAACCACATGAAACTGCCAAAATTTAATTGATCTACAAAAAACAGTATTTTCATATGATCTTCATGGTTATTACGGATTGAATTTTGTCCCCAAAAAATATGTGTTGTAAATCCTAACCTCTATGCCTATGGTCATAATCCTGTTTGGGAATGAGTTTCTGTTATGTTAATGAGGCAGGATTAGTGTAGGGTGTGTCTTCAGTCAATCTCTTACAAGAGAGAAAAGAGAAGCAAGCAGAGATGAGGGAAGAGAGATGACAAGCCACATGAAGATCACCCAGGAGCAGAAGCTCAAAAGAAACATTAAGTTTCCTCCAGAGCTGTCAGAGAGAAAGCCTTCCCCTAGAGTCAGCATCCTGTATTCGAACTTCTAGCCTCCTAAACTGTGAGAAAATTAATTTCTGTTTGTTAAAGCCACCCACTTGTGGTGTTTCTGTTATAGCAGCACTAGATAACTAAGATAAGGGTGATTGAGTAACAAGAGCTTTAATGTATAGAATGATAATTAATTTCTGATGAATGAGAGGTATATCCTTTTTAGTGACTTATTTCCTAATTTCCTGTATTCCTGACAGTCCCCTCTCAATATAGGTATTTACAGTTTTTATTTCTTGGCTATTATGACATTCTTTACTGAGATTTTTATTAACAATACTCCTCCCTCAATTTTAAGTATGTTATATGTTCTTTAAGGGAAAGAATATGTTAGTATAAGGTTACATTCGTTTATTTTTCTGGTTGACTCTTTTATCAATTTGGTAAAATTTTATAAACACCTAGTGCCTTTAACCTATAATAGAGATAGAACTGTCTTTTACCCAATAACAAACAACAAATGCTTATTTCCAACAGGCTCTGATGGATGCATATATGAAACCCTGATACCAACACATCCAAGTGATCGAGAAAAAAATCAGGTGGTAGTTAGGTCACTGTTGCTCAAGGCAGTTGTGTCTGGTGATGTTCGAAATGGTGTTGCACTCAGCGTCCTGGATCAAGATCACATAGCGGTCCTGGGAACTCCACTGTCAGCTTCTAAGGGTGACTAAAATCCAATCAATTAAGAAGTCCTCTGGATTTTTGCTTCAAAGTGTACCATTTAGTCTTCCCTTTCTTTTTCATTTCTTTATTGTCACTCTAATTCATTCTCTTTATCACTATACTTGAATTATTTTCACAGCTTCCTATCTCTTCTTGAATAGGTCTTTGATTTTATTTTGCCTTGATTAATCTTTCTAAAACATTTTTTAATACCTGTGCTAGTTCATAGACATTTGAAATGTTGGTTAGCCTTGCAATAAGGGATTGAATGCATAGCCTGGTGATATTTCACGGCATGTAAATCTACTGGGCTTAGACAGCTTGAGGTGCCAGAATTACTAGTAAGCTTCTTGTGTCTGTGACTTCTAAGCAGGATTCTCATCACCACCTACAAACACACGCAGACTTCTAGTCTATCGTAAAGAACACAGTTGCTCCTTGCCAGTGGGCGTCCCAGCCTACACGTAAAACTTAGAATCTGCTGTTTACTATTCAGGTCCCTCTATAGCCTAGACCCCATCTGTCTTTTTCAACCTCTTCCCCCAGTTTCTGAGCAAGAACCGTCTGCTTCATTCAGGCCAGGCTCCCTATTGACTACAAGCTTGCTATTCTCATCCTCACCTGCCCTTTGTTCTTATGTTTCTCCTGCATATGATTTAAAGATACTAACTAGTTAAACGGGAAACTCTGGTGGTGTAGTGGTTAAGAGTTCCACTGCCTACCAGAAGATCGACAGTTCGAATCCACCAGGCGCTCCTTGGAAACCCTGTGGGACTATTCTACTCTGTCCTATAGGGTTGCTATGAGTCAGAATCAGCTTGACAGCAATGGGTTTGGTTTTCTTTTAACCAGTTAAACCAGTTACCATTGGTTCAGCCTGAACTCGTGATGACACCGTGTGTGTGTCAGAGTAGAACTGTGCTCCATAAGGTTTTCAATGGCTGATGTTTTGGAATTCGATCACCAGGCCTTTTTTCCGAGACACCTCTGGATGGACTTGGACCTCCGCAATCTTTTGGTTAGCAGCTAAGCCCATTGACTGACAGTCACAGTGTGACTGTCATGTGCTGGACATTTGACTTTTATCATCTCATTGTTTGTAATGTTTAATTCTCCACTCAACCAACCCTATGAGAGAACGTAGTTATTGTCCCTGTTTTGCAAATCCGGAAACTGAGGTATAGGAAAGTTATGTAGCTAAGTCAAGCAAGTTGACTCCATTATGCTATAAACCCTACCCTAAGTCCTATCCATTCTTTACTGTTATTTTTTAAAATTTAAATTTATTTTTGTAATTTTTTGAATAGGTATATTTGCATTGTTCAAAAAGCATGAAAAGCTATGGCAGTTACCATGTTCTAGACACTAATTTAAGCACTTTATATATATTAACTCAATCTTTTCAGCAACCCTATGAGGAAGATAATATTTAAAGATAAGAAACCTGAGGCCAAGATGGGTTAATTATCACAGAGCTGACAGAGCCATTAAGTGGCACAACTGGGATTCAAATCCAGACAGCTTGGCTCCAGAATCCTGGCTCTTAACCACTTTATGTGATTTTCCTCTCTCAGCCCCCATCCTTCCTCTTCCTTGATCCCACTGCACCCCTTACTCCCCAGAAAACCAGAGAACTACTATTACAGTTTGTCTTGTACCTTTCCAGACTTTTTTTGTGCGAATACAAGCAAATACTAATATATATGCTCCTCTTTCCACAAATGGGAGCATACCATACAAACTGTTGTGCACCTTATTTTTCACTTAAAATCTCTTGGAGGTCTTTACTTATCACTGTATTATTTTTTATCTTCCTTATTTATTTGCTTGTTTTAGCAGCTGCATAGTATTTCATTGAATGGATGTCCCTCAGTGTGTTTAGTCACTTCCCTGTCGTCGGATGTCATTCATCCATTATTTGAGGCCCCCTTTCAGAGCTCACCTTCTCTTTAACATCTGATTATTTCAGCCTGCAGTGAGCTCGTTTCTTTGAGCTTCTGTGGCACTCACTAATTTTTATTCTTAATAATGCAAGACTTGTGTATTTTACTGTGACTTTTCCAAAGCATCATATATTTATACTGGGGGCTTCTGAATTTGTGTATCTTATTTTATAGAATGCCTCTCCATTTGGAACATCAAATTTCAAACACTGCAGGCTTCAAAAGATTTACTTCAAGGGACCAGTGGTCAGGTAAGTTTTTATAGTTGGGAAACTTTTTTCACGTATAAGTATTGTGTCTGATAAATACGTTGTAAGAGAAGAGACCTCTTTGGAGCTAAATATTTTTGGCAGCTATTAATATAAGAGATATTTTTTTACCTCTAAGATTATTTTTAATTTGGCTATATTTTAATAGTTTCCTTCTGTTTATCACTTTAGAAGACTAAATTATAGCACGTTTTAAATCAAGGGACAACAATTAGCTAGTTAATAGAACAACATTTTTGTCTTTTAAGTGCTTTCTGGTTTGATCAGGGGCCCTGGTGGCATAGTGGTTAAAGCGCTCGGCCACTAACCAAAAGGTTAGCAGGTCGAACCCACCAGCTGCTCCTCAGGAGAAAGATGTGGCAGTCTGCTTCCGTAAAGATTTACAGCCTTGGAAACTCTAGGGCAGTTCTACTCTGTCATACAGGGTTGCTGTGAGTTGGAAGCCAGTGGGTTTGATCTTTTTTTTTTTTTTTTTTTTTTTTAACTATACCCCAAGGCTATTACTTTGCCTTAATAAATTAGTCTTTTAGGTTATATCTTAAAACGTTCCCGTAGAATTACATAGAAATACTTAAAGAATTAAAATTTAAGCTGACCAGACTGTAAACTTCCTGAGGTAATTCCTCATCAGTTTTATTCTCTGTTTTTTCAATTCTTCGGAGCAAAGGTGCTCAGTAAGTGTTCGTTATGTAGTGAATGACTATCCATATAAAAATAAAATATAAATCAAGAAGTAGGGCATTATTGATAATTGTAATTAGAGGATAAGGTGGCTAGTCTTCTCAGCATACAATTTAATTCTAGTTTATATTTAAAGTATTTTAACAAAATTAACCACTCACAAGTCCACCACTCTCACAAACTTATTTTTTGAATTCCATGTGCCTCTAAGCCTTTTGTTTACCTACCTGTATTATTTCTAAAAATTTATCATTGTAATCGTAAAATAGAGACGATTTTAAATTCTTTTTTCATCTAGTGCATCATGACAGTGTGTTCGTGTTACAGTCGCCTTGGTAGTTATTGTGTTACTAGATGTGTAATACTGTATTATTGTAAAACAGTTCAGTTATTTTAAACGTAAAAATGGTCAGATTTTTATTACAGGCAGTCTCCGGATTATAAACAAGTTCCATTCCTAAGTACGTCTTTAAGTCAAATTTGTACATAAGTTGGAACATGTACATCAGTCAGTCAGATGTTTGTCTTAGTATATAGTGTACTTTTGTATGCATAAAAAACATTAAACACTTGCAGATACACTAAAACATCTTTGACCTAATAATACAGTAATAATCATGTTTTGATGCACGTCGCAAAGTAGTGCCTGTTTGTTATGACAAACCATTGTATGTACCTTGGTTTTTAATATAATAGGCTTTAGAGGGCTTGGTTCATAACTACGGGTTGTACATAAATCGGGTTGTATGTAAGTCGTTCATTCGTAACCCAGGGACTGCCTGTATTTGAAAGTATCATTTAAATTATGCTAAGTTACCTCGGGAGGGGCACTGCTGTTGGATAAAGGGTTTCTTTTTGGGTGATGAAAATGTTCTAAAATTGATTGTGATGATGGTTGCACAACTCTGAATACACTAAAAGCAATTAAATTGTATACTTAAAATGGATGAATTGTATGGTATCTGAATTATATCTCAGTAAAGCTGTTCAATAAATACTAAAAAAATTAATGCTTCATTCAGACTTGTGCACAGATAAGAGCTATATAATCTTACTCCAGTTAATATGTTGCATATAGGAGTGTCTTCTGGGAAGTTGCTTAACTTTAGCTTGTCCTTTTTTTCTTACACTAAGATAGCTTACACAGTGTTACCAATTATAAGATTTTGCTGAGTCAGTTCTTTGGAGAGGAAAAAAATTGCTTATATTTTTAATAACTTTTTTTGTAGCTCTGGTATTATGGGGAAAATCTGTTTATGCTACATGGAAAATTTCTGACCGTGATTCCATACAAGTGTGAAGTGTCATCGTTAGCAGGTGCACTTGGAAAACTCAAGCATAGTTATGAACCAGGTAGGAACTTACCTATATGTTTGTTTTACTGAAACAAAGCATTTTGTTAGCTCTCAGTTTGATATGTAGATTCCCACTCAATTTGCAGAGCCTGTTCTTAATTTTGAAATTTGCCACTGTTCACGGAAACTTCCTTGACCCAGGAGGCTACCTTGAGAGCTGCCCATATTGCAAGTAATGCTGCAGACCGAGGAGCTGCACTGTGTTTTGAACAGCCAGTGTTCTTCTGACTTCAGGGGCAATGAGAGAATCCCCAAGGCAAGATCAGTAATGCCTCTACCCTCCCTGGTTTTCCGACAGCCTCATCTTTGGCTTAATGTTGCTGGGCATATGGCCTTTTACTATATTATGATTTACTGATCTGAGGTTATCAGTAGAATTACGTGGACTTTCAAGCTTCTCTTGAATTGTGCATGAGTGATTGTTATTGTTCGATAGTCCAAAAAATTCCAGAAATTGTGCATTTTGTGTTTTCATAGGCAGTCATGCTGTGCCCCATTTTGTGAACTGGGAAACATCTCAGGAATATGGACTTGGATCACAGAACTCAGAGCAGTCAAGAATTGTAAGTTTAAACATCAAAACAGAAATGTTAGTGCAGATATTGAAAAACAGAAAAATGCTAAATTATTTTAATGATTCATATTTGTAAAACTCTTCCAACTCTGATCTTGATGACGAAGGAATTTGAAGCTTGAATCCAGTGATCTCACACCCTTTATCAGAAATGGCACATATGTCCTTTAGTTAATTTTTATCAGGGTGTGTGTGTTATATGTTAAGGCCCAGGTGTGAAACTGAACCAGTATGCAATCAGCAATAATACCTTTCTGAATCCAGAGATTTTATTTTGTGCTTAAAAATCAAAAACCTTAAAATTTTTGAGGTATTTAATTTGAAAGTTGAAATAAGCCCACTTTTCACTATTTAAAAAAAATATATGCTATTAAAAACAGTTTGTGATTAGAGCAAAAACCTGCTAGTCTCTTTAGGGTGTTCCATATGCTTCTAAATGTGTAATTGATCTTTTGTATTGGTTTGAGAACCTAATCAATTTACTTAATTTCAGTTAAGGACGAGAAAAGTTGAAGTGAGTTTACAGCCAGCTGTTTCAGCATCTGCACAACTTTTATTAACCATAAAGGTAAGTAAAAAAAAATAATAGCTATATGAAAAATCAACACAGAAGATTAAAAGAAATTCCATCTACTTTTCATTTTGTCTTATTTTTATGATCGTTTTTGTAGCTACAGCGAACACTTGTATAGTGTCTTAGAGTTGCCAGAGTTGGTCCAATACTTTGGCTTATTTGACTCTCATTGTGATTTTGTGAGATGATTGATGGCGTTGGCCTCAGCAGTTCTCATTCAACTGTGCATTGGACATGTTTGTAATTTAGTCTCCTAAAATGTTTTGGTTTATCACTCCTTGAATGTTTTTTTCATTCCAGTTTGTGTTTATGAAGCAAAAAGTAGTATTAACCCCAGTTGCACAAGAACGTGTGAATGCTGTTAGTAATCTGACAAGTGTTGAGCTAGGAATTTTTAAATTCGGTGATATTTATTAATGTTCCAGACTGAACTCTTAATTCTGTCCTTTCAGAATGATACAGAAAAACACATTGAAGTAGAACTCCGTAAATTTTTGGCTATTAAACAGACACCTGAGTTTCATACTACTATTGGGGACATAGTAACAGGACTCCTGGGAAGGTGTAAAGCAGAACCATCATTTTATCCCCGGAACTGTCTGATGCAGCTTATCCAAACACACGTGCTTTCCTACAGGTGGGTACCTCTGTATACCAAGTTTCACATACCCTGAAAACGCTTATAAATTATCTGTGATTGCAGTTTTTCTTAATACGTAAAACTATGATGTGGAATTTTCTTTGTCTTAGCTTATGCCCTGGCTTAATGGAAGTTGCCTTAGAAAAGACAGACGTGCAGATTTTACAGCTCTGTCTCCAGCAGTTCCCTGACATTCCTGAGTCGGTCACCTGCGCTTGCTTAAAAATTTTCTTAAGGTAAGTTAGAAGCTGATGGTCCTTTTCATTCACTACATTTTTAATCTACTGCATTATTTGATTTCTAAAACTTTGAGTGCCTAAAAAGTAAAATTTTTTCCAATAAGTTCGAGATGTGATAAGAATTTCTTGCTTTCAATTAACATCATAGCATTGATGATGACAGTCTTCAAGAAACAGATATCAGTACGGAATCGGTTTTTGACTATAGTGATACTGTACGAGATGAGAAAATGGAAGAGCAAACTGAAATTATGGAAAATGGTTTCAATCCTGAAGAAGATAACAGCAATAAAGAAAAGCCTCAGGGTACAACAGAGGAGACCACTTTGAGCCCTGTAACACCCAAAAGAGCAGCTCTGCTGTATCCTTGGAAATCCAGAGTTTCCTTAAACTGTCTCTGTCTATGGACATAGTCATGTGCCAAAAAATAACTAAGAGGGGGTAATTAGATCATTTAAGGATTTTTTTTTTCTTTTTTCAATTTCTGCTTGAAAATGGATTATGTTCAATGCTACATTGAAATAATGTACTTAAACCTGTTTTCTTAATTAAGAAGCTATACTAAAGGCAGAAGCTCCATCAATTCTAAAAATTAATGTTCTAAATAAATAGACCAGTTACTGGTAATAGAGAAATATTCCAGATGATCACTAGTGATTCGGGGGGGGGGGGTGTTAAGTGATAGAATTCTTCTAGATAAATAAAACATTTTGTATAAATTTAGAAAAATATTATTGAGGAAGGGCATTACTCATAATTTAAATAGCATGGAAATAAGATTTTCCTTTAGTCCTAAGTAGAAACGCAGTTCTTCATTCAGCATATAGTGAAGCATTCCTTTTGCCTCACTTGAAAAACATTCCTGCACAACATGTCACAGTAAGTATTCTTACAAATCCTGTAGAATCTTGTTTCTGGTTTATGTTTCTCTGCTTGACTCTAACCAGCTGCTAGAGCAGTCTAAAGCTCATCAAGTTCTTTGCCGTGAATAAGGGGCTGCTCAGCCCTCATGGTGAAAAACTGTGCCTAGGAGACTAGAGTGATATTTGGGTGGCAGGCCTTGACGTGGTCCTTGTGCCAAGCCTGAGAGCCGGGTTAAGCCATCTCAGTTATAAATGCCAAACACTAAAATGCCAGGAAAGAATTCTCTCTTCTCTGCCTGTTACTAAGGAACCTTTAGGAATAGAAAAAGCTCCTCACCCCAAACCACATGAGCTCCTCATTGATGGCAGGTACTGCATTGTCCTTTTTTTGTGTGCCCCCAGATACCTGGCACACTTGTTTGATAAACAGTTAAATGGAACAGTCTCTGTTAGTTTTATATAGAGAGAATTTTTTTTTTTTTTCTAATCAGTGATAAATTGTCCCTTTTTTCTCCTACCCAGCTATTTCTCCAGTATTTGTATTTTCTTTATCTGAAGTGTAGTGAAAATGCTACTATGACTCTTCCTGGAATACAGCCTCCAACCCTGAACCAGGTGAGATAATATACTTAGTTTGAGCTGGTGCTGGAAAAAGTCTGCTGAAAAGGTCATATAGTGTCAGAACCTGGAATTCAGTAACTGGTTTCTCCTTGATTCCTAGTGCATATGATGCTCCTCCCTCACCATGCACACAAACCACTGGAGTGGGGAGGTAGAGGGAGTCTCTATTTGGTAGATAGATTTTTAAAACTATAGCTCTATAATACAGGACTTAGATTCATCTTAAATTTCTTTTTTTTTTTTTTTTAAATCCCTTTCTAAGCATTTCCTTAGTTGCATTGGGAGAAGACAGGGAGAGGCTGATAATAGGCGCTCTCCCTCTAATATACCACTTAAGAATAAGAGAATGAAAATTAATGAGGTAATGTTCTCAAAGAATCTCATGGTAGACACTCTTTAAATACAGTAATTTATGTCTAGAAATTTTCTTCCTATATACCAACTTATTTTCCTTTTTCTCTTTTTGTCTCTCTGACACAAATGAGATCATAGTATACATGCTATCTGCAACTTACTTTCTTTTTTCCTTCACTCAACAGTGTTTTGGACATTTTTTGGACTGGTACACATACATCTGCCTAATTCTTTTGAACCACTGCATACTACTTCATTTTATGCATTTATCTTAATTTATCAGTCCCCTGTTGATAGACATTTAAGTTGTTTACAGCTTTTTATTATTGTAAACAAACCTTTATACGGTATCCTTCTGTACGTATGAGAGAACTTCTGCTGGGTAGGTTCTCAGAAGTGAAATTACTGCATCAGAGGGTGCATGCAATTTTTTGAAAATGCCAGATTACCTTTCAGAAGGGTTGTGACAGTAGACACTACTACCACCACCAAGGTGTGAGGGCTTATTGCTTCACATCCTTACTAACACCTGGTACTGTCCAACTTTTGCTAATTGGATAGGTTACAAATGGTACCTTGTTTCCATTTCTGTCTCTTTGATAGTGAAAGAAGTGGACCATCTTTGCTGTTTCTATTTCTTTTCGTGAACTGCCATGTCAGAGTCCTGCCAATTTTTCTATTGTGTTTCCTATCTTTTTTTTTTTTTTTTTTGCTTATAAAGAGTTCTTTGTGTTAACCTTTTTGTATCCTACATTATAAATGCTTTTCCCTAGCCATTTGTCTTTTTACTCTGTTTATTGTAGTTTTTGCCATAGAGAAGTTATTAATTTTTATGCTATCAGTATTTACTCGCTTTTCCTTTATGGCTTCTTTAGGCTTATGTTATGCTTAAGGTCCTCCCCACTCTAAAATTATAGAAATAATCATCCTGTTTTTGTTTAGTACATTCATAATTTCTTTGTGTGTTTTTTTTTTTTAATTTAATTCTTTGATACAGACAGAATTTATTTTGGAATAAGGAGTTTTATCAAGATTCGTTTTTTTTTCCTTCAAAATTAGATAGCCAGTTTTTCATGACAGTGATATTTGCGTGTTAACTATACCATTTGAAGATGTAGAACTACATGGGATACTTTTATAAATAACTTTATTTTAGTTCAAGGTAGCTCACCTACAATACACAGCACCCTATTCTTGGGGTGTAGTGTATCTTTCAAAATAAAGGATGAGTGAGTTCTATTTTCTTAACTGCAAATAATTACCAAAACCAATTTTTTTAAAAATAAGATATAAGCACTGACTCTTCCTTGGATTAAATATCACCCTGACTTTCTTATTATCTATGAATCCTATGAAAAGGCTCCAGTTATGCTTGTCAAATATCAAGTATAAAAGTGAAAAAGAGCCTTTTTATGTTACTTAGAAAGTCTCTCCATGTCTAAACTAAGATGTGCAGACTCCTATTAAGAAGATTTATATTTTTTATAACTGTTTGATGTAATTATAGACTTTGTAAAATGAATTAACCTAAACTTAAATTTAAAATCTTAACTTTCTTTTCCTATTTATCTTCAGATTATGGATTGGATATGCCTACTTCTAGATGCTAATTTTACTGTTGTGGTAATGATACCAGAAGCAAAAAGGCTACTGATAAATCTTTACAAGTTTGTGAAAGCCCAGGTTTGTGACTGTTGGATATATACTGAGTTCTGTTTGTATTCCCAAGCACCACCTAACTATCATTTGTTCTTAAATTTTGTTCTTGAAATAGTCATTAGTAATCATGGAGGATTTGTTTATAGGTCAAAGTTATGGTAAAAGTTAACTCTGACAACTTTTTTTCTTTAGATAAGCGTTTATTCTGAGCTCAACAAGATTGAAGTAAGTTTTCGGGAGCTACAGAAATTAAATCAAGAAAAGAATAATACAGAATTGTATTCAATCGAAGTGCTGGAACTCTTCTGACATTATCAGTTTTCCTTCATAGACGTTTTACAAAGCCCTTTTATGTGAACTCTTCCTACTTATCCAGGCAAGAGAGGTGTTTTGTTTGTGGCCGGCTCTCAATATCAAAAACATGTCAGCAACTACCTGGGACTATTGCTTGTTGATGCTGGCTAGGTGTAGGGTCGCTATGAGTCAGAATCAACTTGACGGCAATGGGAGGTAGGACTGCAGGTTTCACAAGAACCTATTCTAGTTTGTGGATGTTGATGGAAGAGGTTCTCGAACTTTTTTTACACATGTAACTAAGCCGATTTTAAGTAAATTTATTTGTGTATTGATAAAAGTCTAATTTCTTATCATACGTTTTGAGTAATTCTTTTAATAAAAAAAAATCACCACTGAAGCAGTGCTTCTAGGAAGAAAGTAGTTTTATCAAAGTCAGAGGCTGCCCTGGCTCATCGGTGCTCATGGCAGAAGAGGTCAAATCCACAAGCAGGGCAGGGAGGGGGCCTCATGCAGGGGAGAGCTGTCTCCTGCCATTTTCCTTTATTGTTATACCTGTTTCCACTCACCTGCTTACCTACCCAAAGATTGAAAAGTTTCTCTTTCTATATACTGTCTCTCAGATTACCTCCATGATTAATTGATAGCAGTCAATTTAAGATATGAAAGTATGCAGTGAAATCTGTAAGATCCAGACTTGATAGGACTGCCTTGTTTTTCCGAGTCTCGCAAGTTTTCCGCCTTTGAGAGGGTACAGTCTTACCACTTTTCTATCAGTTGTGTTAGTGGAGAATATTTGAGTTTTCCTTCTCTGACAGGTTTCTGCCTTGCACAGGTTCTGGCTTTTGCAAGTTTTAGTGTATTACCAAATAGTTAAAAAAGAAAAAAAAAGCGCTTCTGAAAATAGTTTTATAGGTTGATTAACCATACTTTCCAGTTTTAACTGTTTGAATTTAGGACAAATGGAAATGTTTTATGTAGAAGAAATGGATGTTTTTGTTTCTTGAAGATAAACGCAGATTATTTTTGTTAAATTTGAAATCACTTTCAGATGATAATGAAGTTGTAAATTATATTTAAGAATTAAGTTTCCCCAAAGTGACCTGAAACCCTTCTGAGCTATGAATGAAAGTCTCTGTTGAGTAAATGATTTTGAAACCTGTTTTAATGTGAAGAGTTACAATACGTTTTTAAAAAACAAAAGTCCTCTGAATTCTAGTGCATAAATATAAGTTCAAGGGTGATTCTAGAGGCCAGCTTTACAGAATCGTTTAATTTCACTTGGCGTTAGAAAAGTGAAGGCATTATTTCAGGTCACTCTGTGGAAACTTGAGTCACAACTATGGCAGCTCACACACAGGTTCTCCTCAGTCATTCTTACTATTTTTAGACCTGAAAGAAAAGAAATACCAAAGATAAGAGTATATATTGTCATGCTTTATACAGTGGGACCTTTTGCTCAACCATTTTTAACGAAAGCGATACAGTTCTTCTCAGCAGCAGTGAAAAATGTAGGTCTCCACAGTATATCCCCTTTTTATCTTTTTTGCTGAACCATTTAAGAGTTACTTGCAGACATCAGACATTATAAAATTGTGAATTTCTAAACTTTTTATGAGCTTCAGGGTAAGAGATCCTTTATGATTTACAGATCCATTTTATGAGCATTAAGATAATTTGGGATTTTCACACTTCTAGATTATAAACTATTGATGATTTTATTTATAAGAAGTCATAATTAAGAGACAAGTCTGATTGACTTGTGGATTCTTTGAGCCAGAGAAAATAAGATAAGTAACTGAAATTCAGTGACAGTTCTTAAATTGCCATTTTGTTCTTAGTGACTCCTGATTTAGTTGTACTTGAAGATGGCTTCTGCAGTGAAAAATGACCTGCCTGGTCAGGAATCAAACAAGGCCTTTGAGGCTGAAGAGGTAAAAGGGAGATTTCCCCATGCCCTCAGACTTTTGTCTGTTTGAATAAACCTTCTATATAGGGTTCTTGTAAAGTCTTTGTTTTAAGTTGAATAATATGGGTTGTAAAAGCATACCTACTGATGCTTAAAATTTCTGGAGTGTTGTCAGATACTTGATAAAATATGGCTACTGTACACAAGGATATAAAGTATCATGACTAGCAGAATTGAATCTCATTTTAATTAAGCTGAAAATTTTAATTGCCTGTCAATACTAGTTGCATATCGTTTCTAGGTTATCTGCAATCAAAGTCACTGAATTTAGAAATTTAAAAAGGATTTTAGAGAAACATAGATTCTTGGGGTGAGTTCTTCAAGGCAAGGACTATGTCTTATCCTTTCTGTACTCTGAGCACAGGACCACTGGCACATAAGTGTTCAGTAAATGGTTATTGAATAAAGTTATTGAACAGTGGATTTTATCTGTCTTACTGTAGAGTGATACTTCTTAGGGTTTGCAGCAGTTACTTTTTCCAGGAAATAAATCATCTATGTTTGTTCACTAAATATAAACAGTGTTGTCTTCTACCTCTAGGATTTTTTTTCCACTTTTTTAAAATTGTGGTAAATATATGTAACAAAACGTTTTCCATGTCAGCAGCCTTCACATGTACAGTTCGGTGACATTAGTTATGTTCATCGTATTGTTCAACCATCACCCTTATCCATTCCCACATTTTTCCATCATAGGCTTTTATTTTTTATAGCACTAAATTGTATCTCACATTTGTTTCTGATTACATATACTATATCTATATAATAATAAAAGAATTGTTCTTTAAACTGAAGTTCTCTGTCTAGGAGATGATTTCCTGTGAACCATATCTGTTTTCTGAAGGAAATGCAGACTAATGCAGACATTATGAAATGGTAGGTTATCATTACTACTTAAGATTATTAGACATTTATTTGCTTTTTTTCTCCTTAGCCTTCTTTGTAAATGTTTGGTGACTATCACTCTAGCGGAGTCCATTCTGGACCGTGTATAGAACTTAAAGATGGACTTCTTACCACAGCTCTTTATTTTGAAATTTTTAATCCTACAAAAAGTTGCAAGAAAAATACAGTGAACCCATATTATTGTTAGCTGCTCTCAAGTTGGCTCTTGACTCATGGGACCCCACATACAATGGAATCAGACCATTGTGATCCATGGAGTGTCTATTGGCTGCTTAAATTTTACCTATTGATAACATTTTATCATGTTTGCTTTGTCTCTCTCTCTATATATATATGTTTATTTTTTCCTGAACCATTTGAGTGTTATTTACAGACATCCAGATACTTTACACCTAAATACTCTAGCTTGATCCTCTAAAACAAGGGTCTTCTTCTATATAACCACGATGCAGCATTAATACAGTACTATTACCTAGAATGATTCAAATTTCCATAATTGTCCCAGTAATGTCTTTTATATACCTGGACTTTTCCCCTATCCAGGATCTGTTCAAGGATCATACATTGCATTTAGTTTTCATGTTTCTTTAATTTCCTTTAATCTAGAACGTTTCCCTAGACACTGTCATTTTTTTTTAAGAATGTAGGCCAGTTGTTTTGCAGAGTGTCCCTCAGTTTGGATTTTCTGGGTGTTTCCATATGATTAGATTCAGATTGAACATTTTTGGGAAGAATGCTACAGAGAAGGACACAGGTTGTGATGAGTTGTATCTCATCATCAGTGAAGTTAAATTGGATCACTTAGTTAAGGCAGGTTTACCAGATTACTTTACTCTAAAAGTACTTCCCTTTGTACTTTATAAGTTATCTATGTGTATCTTTGAGACTGACTGACTGTCCTGCTCTGGAATATTCTTCCTCCTCAACAGTGGTTTTAAATCCATTGGTAACCCTTACCTCTTCCAGCTTTTGGTAGCCCCAGGTGTTCTTGGCTTGTGGCAGCAGGACTCCAGTCTCTGCCACTGTTGTCATCTGGTGTTCTTCCTCTGTGTCTCTTCTCTTTTTATAAGGATACACTCATATCGGACTGATAACATCTTCAAAGACCCTGTTTCCAAACAAGCTCATGTCCACAGATACCAGGGATTAAGATGTCAGCATATTTCTTTGTGGGGACAGTTCAATCCGTCACAGTTGCCTTGCTTATTCCTTCCCCATTGAAGAGGTTTGCAGTGTTTGCAAGGCTCTGTAGTGAAGACTGAGTGTGAGGCAGATGCCATGAGGTTGTGAAGATATGTCAGTATGATTTGCACCATGGGTGGTATTTAAGATGGCTGTAATAACCCCATTCATGTTGCAGAAACAAGTATTATGAAAGGAGCATCTTCATGGAGAATCCGACGTCATCTGACCACTGCCCTCCACAGGAGTGGGTGGAGAGAGGTGGCTATCGAGAGTTATAGGTGGCCTTCTAGAGTGGAGTGCCTCTCACAAGTCATGAGCCCAGAGGATAAAAATCAGAAGTTCTGTCCTGGAGATTAAAATCAGGAAAGTAAGCCCATCAGCTCTCAAGAGGGCTCAGCAGCCAAATACTGTCATGGTTCAGGGAAGAGGGACAGGAGACTAGATGAAGTTTGCTGACGAAATGTCTGCACTGATTTGGGCTTTTTATGAACAAATGTGCCAAAAAAGTGCCTATTTACATTTTTGGTGTAAGTATAAATTAGTACAGCCTCATCAGAAGGTAATTTGGCAATATCTATTGAAATGTAAAATTGATGACCCTTCGGGCCATTAGTTAATAGGAATTTATCCTGCACATACTGGCACATATGCTCACAGAAGTGTATACAGGGATATTCATTTCTACCCTGTTTGCAGTGGCAAACATTTGGAAATAAATGTCCAAGAGAATACTGGTTAAATAAATAAATATGGTAAGTTCATGCCATGGTTTAACTTAGAGGCATTAAAAAGAAGAGGCATCCCACAGAGCCGCTGGGTGGGTTCAGACTGTCAACCTTTAAGTTAGCAGCTGAGCACTTAACCATTGTGCCACTGAGGCTCCTTTAAAAAAATGACATATTCCATAGAAGAATCCTGATCAAAAGGGGGGAAAATGCAGAACAGAATTTGAAATGCTTATGGAGTCTAGACTTGCTGGAGCCATAGAGGGTGGATGAACTCCTGAAACTATTGCTCTGAGATAATCTTTAAACCTCAAACCAAAAATATCCCCTGAGGTTTTCTTAAAACGGAATAATAGTTTAGCTTAACTAGTAAAAAAAAAGTCTGCCTTGAGCATTATACTGTTTTAAGAACTATCTATATGGGATCAAAGTGACAATAGCAACTTGAAAGATTGGATAAGGAACCTTCCTGGGCAGTGTTAATAGGCTAGGAACAGTTCAGAAAAGGAGAGTGAGAATGGTTGCACAACTTGAAGAATGTAATCCATGTCACTAAATTGTACATGTAGAAACTGTTGAATTGGTGTATGTTTTGCTGTGTATATTCTCAACAACAACAAAATAAAATTTAAAGAAAAAAAAAGGGGCAGCTCAGCATGTACTGATACGGAACAACCTCCAGAAAACAGAAGAAAACCAAAAGCAAAGTGCAAAATAGTGGATGTGCTATGATTGGTATTAAAAACAGGGGGAAGTGGCATGGGGTCTTTAAAGCTAGCGAGCAGCCATCTAAGATGCATCAATTGGTCCCAACCCACCTGGAGCAAAGAAGAATGAAGAATACCAAAGACACAAGGAAAATATTAGCCCAAGAGACAAAAAGGGCTGCATAAACCAGAGACTATCAGCCTGAGACCAGAAGAACTAGATGGAGCCCGGCTACCACCAATGACTGCCCTGACAGGGAACACAACAGAGAATCCCTGATGGAGCAGGAGAAAAGTGGGGTGCAGAACTCAAATTCTAGTAAAAAGACCAGACTTAATGGTCTGAGACTGGAGGAACCCCAGAAGACATGGCCCCCAGACTCTCCGTTAGCCCAGAACTAAAACCATTCCTGAAGCAAACTATTGAAATATTAGACTGGTCTGTAAGACATAAAATGATACTTGTGAAGAGTGTGCTTCTTAGTTCAAGTAGATACATGAGACTAAATGGGCAGCTCATGTCCGGAGGCGAGATGAGAAGACAGAAAGGGATAGGAGCTGGCCGAATGGACATGGGAAATCGGGGTGGGAAGGGGAAGTGTGCTGTCATATTATAGGGAGAGCAACTAGGGTCACATAACAATCTGTGTATAAATTTTTGTATAAGAAACTAATCACCTAAAGCACAATTGAGAAAAAAAAAGATGTTTACACTTAGAATATTGAGAAGACACATAAAATATATTAGTAACAATGATTGCCTCTGGAGAGAACACCTGTGTTAAGAATTCAACTGACTTTTCACAGTAAATACCCGTTTGTATCTTTGGAATGTTTTACTACCCACGCCCACCCCAAATAAATAATTTTTTAGGACACTAGTTTCTGAGCCACTTCATCCGGTAAGGGATAAAAACATTGCTTTTTTAGTTCTAACTCCCGGTGGCAGCTCTACCACTACCCCTGGTCCAAGCCATCATTCCTGCAATTGAATTACCTCAAAAGCCGCCGTCCTTGTCCCCTTAACATAGCAGCTGGAGTGATCTGTTAAAAAATGAGAAAATCATGTCAGTCTTCTCCATCAAACCTAAAGGTCCAGCCCTGTGTCCTTCTCTCCTTTTCCCCTCTCCCACCCCAGTGACCTCTCCAGCCTCATCAGCTGCTCTCTTGCTCAGGCTTGTTCCTGAATCCTCCTGGATGCCTTCTTCCCTCAGCTTCTTGGGGTTTGTGCTCAAAGGTCACCTCAGTGA